CTCTATGTGTCTGTGTGGCGGGGGGAGGTAGGGTGAGGACGAGGGGGCTGCGGGGAGAGGGAACCTTAGTCTCTCCTTCAAACCAGTTTGGGTTTCAAAACTTCTTGGCTTCCATTTGGGTAATGTCAAGAGTTTGTTCAGTCCGCCTATTTCTGAAGTAGCTATTCTGTTAGAATTCTGTGGATTAGGGATTATCACCCCTAATTTATAAGTACTGGGACTGAGGTTAAGTGACAAAGCTTCTGAAAGTAGGAGGGCTTGAGATATCAGCACCTCAAATACAGACACATCACGTCTACTGCATAAAGAGGGCACAAAGGAAATAGCAATCTGACTGCATCGGGATTCAGGATGAACAGGGGGACAGAGGGAGGACGACAGTATTCAATAAATAGCAGCCGACACTTTTTCTCTATGACTTCTAATCTTAATAGACAAGGAAACAAATATCTGCAAGTAGTAGTTATTCCTGCAAATTTTATTTATGTGGTGAACAGCTTCTGCTTATTCAGAAATCCACAATAATGTCCCCCATAGATTTTCCTCAGAATAACAGTTGCTTATATTATACAAAAGTTTCAAACAGAGGGTTGATAGTACAGCCGGGAGGGCATTTGCCTTGCACACCACAGACCTGCATCCCATATGATCCCCAGAGAACCACCAGGAGTAATTCCTGAGTGCAGAGTCAGAAGAACACCTGAGCATGTGTTTCCAAAAAGCAAAAAAAAAAAAAAAAAAAAAAAAAATTTTTTTTAAAAGTTCCAAATAGACTGGTTTGCTCTCCTAATCTTCCCTTCATAGCTAGGAAACTTATGTAAAGCTTTCTCAAAACCCTATTTTTTTCTCTCTGCACTTGCAAAGCACTTTTCTTAAAATTCATACATAATATATATTAAAATGAACTTTGCACTCTAAATGAAGGATTTATGTTGGCTTCTTCACTAGACCAAAAGGAGTCCCATTCAAGGTTTTTTTGTTTGTTATTGCAGCCACAAGGACTACAGGGGGGGTGTCCTGGCAACAGGAAAATAGAAAGGGAAATTAGATAGATAACTTGTAACATAGAGATTGCCAACTACATCAAGATATTGTTTCTGTTAGGAAGGGGGTTCTGGTTTGGAAGGGAGATACAAATAAAGAATTAGAGCAGAAGTTACCAAACTTATCTGATCTACTGCCTCCATTGAAGGAAAAAAGAGAAAAAAAAAAGAATAACAACAACAATTATCTTCTTAAGAGAACAGAGGACCAGAGAGATGGGATGGAATGGGGGAGGAGGGGGTCTTATCTTGCACAAAGCAGACTTGGGTTCAATCCTCAGCACCACATATGGTTCCCTGAACACTGCCAGATGAGGCCAAGAAACTAACAAAAGAAACTACCTCCAACTATACCTAAGGCTATCACGGCCCTTCTGGATCTGTCCAGTCAACCCCAAGGGACAGTATTGACCACTTGGAAGAACGGTGGATTAGAGGAAAGCAAAGAACCATTGGAGAGGAACTGGAATTGGGACTTTTTAATGTGAACTTATTCAGAAGTGTAATCAGATTTTTCCCTGTCCCCTGGAAGGGACGGGATGAATAAACTCCACAGTGGCAAAAGGATGCCAAAAACACAGATCTTGGTTTCCAATGCAGGAAAGGACTCCTTGGAAAATAACTGACGCGGGGACAAAAGCTGGAAAGATGAATCTGGAGACTTGTGAGCCATCTTAAAAAGGCCATGAAAGGAATCTAAGACAATAGGAACATGAAAATAATTGCGCATGGTAATGAGTGACAAAGGAAAAAGAGATAAATTCATAATAACATTGATAATAAATAGAAATCGAAGGTGAAATGGAAACAATGGGAGAGGCCACGCTTACTGTTGAGTATTCGGAATAGCTACTAAATATGAAGGTATTAATGGAGTAGGAAATTCTATTTTGGTTTAAAGGGCATTTAGGAACGACCATTTTGCATAGTAAAGATCAGTGGCTACTACAACAAGGAAGAAACAGATGATAAAAAGTGAACATTCGCAAGGCTAGAGCCATAGCACAGCAGGTAGGACATTGGTCTTGCATGTTGCTGACTAGTCCCCAGCATCCAATCTGGTTCCCTGAGTATCGCCAGGAGTGATCCCTGTGGACAGAGGCAGTAAGCCCTGAACCAGGTGTGGCCCCCAAAGCCCTCTCCCGCACAAAAGTTAACATCACCAATGAGAGCAGATTTACACGAAGTTATCTCTGGATATCCCGTGAAATAGTCTACCAGAGAACAATGCATTGAATCAAATTATAAGAAAATGCAAGAGGAAACCCCAATACAAATATTCTACTAAAAAAATTTTGGCCTTAAAAAAAAGTGAGTTATATACAATAAAGTTCAGGATAAATAACTGTCATAAAAAGCAACAATTTCTCAAGTGTTCATAAAACGTGTATGTGCATACAGAGAATAAGAAGGTAAAACCAGATGGTGCATGGCTAGAGAGGGTGCTCCGTGGGCTGAGCTATGTTTGGCAAGCTGGAGGCCAGAACTGGCTCATGGGCACTTACCGGTCCCTTAAGCATCACCAGCAGAGAACCCTGAGCACAGAGCCAGGAGTAGCTCCTGATTGCTGCTGGGTGTGACGTAAAAATAAACCCAAATGGGCCAAATAATGATTATAGGTAAATCTGGACAAAAGGTATACAGTGCTCCTTGCATCACTCTTGACAATTCTTAAAAAAATTAACTTTATGGGGATATGGTGCCACCAGCAGGTCAATCTGTACCTGTGAGGCAAGTGCATCAGCAGCCTGATGGCGCCTTCAGACTTCCAGATACCCCAAAATTGCTGCTGTGCCTCTGGCCAGACCCCAAAAACTTGGGGCAAAGTTTACCAAGAAAGTGAATGGCCAAAAGTTAGGTATGTGGGAGACACATGCAAAACCACCTCTGGCTCAGCTATATAATTGGAGGCATGGCCTCTCTGGTTCCTGATCAAACTGCTTAACGGCCATGATCCCAGAGACTCAGAAACAAATCTCGAAACCCAGCGGCTTTTGGCAGAAATGCGTCCAGTCCCTGCAGTACATTACCAATGCTGGACCAACCCAGGTGGGAATAAGTTTTGTGCCTTGGCCTGCTTCCCCTGGCGGCCCAGTGGCCACCATCCTCCAGAGGCCACTGGACAGTCAGGTTTAGGCCCACAGTGAGGAGACACATGGGGCCTCATGGGATGGAGGTGGAGCCGGCGCTTTCCTCCCCCTCCCAACGAGACCCTGGGTCGCCGCCCATGGACGACCTTTCTGGCTCCTGATCAAGCTGCTTAACGGCCACGATCCCAGAGACTCAGAAACAAATCTCGAAACCCAGCAGGTTTTTGGCAGAAATTCCTCCAGATTTAAGTGTTAAAATTTCGGAATTTCAAAATCGTGAAGCCACTACTGCAGCCACGCAACATTATATGTTATTCTTAACCAGCAAAAGAAAACAAATTGTCTACTGTTGCCTTTCAGCAGATCTGAGTGTTGGGGTAAAATCCCAAATAATAATGGTGGGTCTGCTGTCAAAATATTGAATGTGATCAAAGTAGAGAGAGAGTAATATGAAAATCATCTGCCCCACAGTTAGGGGGAGGCTGGGGGATGGAGGTATACTGGGGTTTTTGGTGGTGGAGAATGGGCACTGGTGAAGGTATGGGTGTTTCATTGTATGACCGAGATTTAAACCCGAAAGCTTTGTAACTGCTCTCAAGGTGATTCAATAAATAAAATTATAAAAAATGAAAAAAAAAAGTAAGGTGGAATTCACGCCCAATTCAATCAGCTAATCAGTGGCTGAATAAATAGCAGTACCCCTACATTTAAAAAAATTAACTTTAAAATTATGAAGTTTAAAATTCCTTCAAAAGTTAAAATCAAAATTTGCCACTGGCAAAGGCAACACAATCAAAAATAAAACAAATGGGACTACAAGAAAATTAAAGAGTTTCTGTGTGGCAAAAGAAACACAAGCTAAAACTCAAAGACAGATAACTGAATGGGAGGAAATCTTTGCAGTCAACACATCAGATAAAGGTTGATTTCCAGGATATATCAAGTACTCACAATGATTAACAACAAAAAAAATTTTAAAAAAAACCACCAAGAAATGGGAAGTGGAAATGAATAAAGCCGTCCCTGAAGAAGACCAATGAATGGTCAATAGGCACATGAAAAAAAAAATCCTCATTATCACTTATTATTAGGGAAATCCAAATCAAGCCAACAATGAAGTGCTGGAATGTCTAAACCCCAACGATGAATAAATTTGTGAAGCACGGTGCTTTAGTAAAAAAAGTTAAATATAACTTCCTACACAAACTATGGCATCTGCAACATGACAAGACATTCATACCATTAAAAAAAACACACAAAAACCTGTTTATAATGAACTGAACTTCATTTTACATAGAATTACAACCTACTTTTGAAGGCCTAATTTGAAAATAAGCTAATCTTCCATAAATGCAAATCTAAGTAGAAAGTGAATACAGCATTTAGATTCATTCAGAATCTCATCAAGAGCTGTTCATTGTTTTGTGGTTACATATATATATATGCAGATAATGCAAAATAAAGATAGGCTATAGGACAATAAGCGGTATGATAAAAATGGTCAAAAAGCAAGGAAAAAATTACATAGCTTAGGGAGATTAATTATCAAAAGAAAAAGAAATTTGCAGGATAGCAAAAAATAATTTTTCCATGGATGAAACAAGAGTCTAATTCCTTTTAAGATTTAAAATGTGGGTGGGTGATGGCTCAAAGGGCGGGAGCACATGCTCGCACTCGGAGCCCCAGGTCAATCCCAGTACTGCACAGTCCACAGTAGTACCATGAATGCCCACTTCATTGTACTGCTGGGTGTGGTCCCAAAGTGGGTAATCATAAAAACACCACACACACACACACACACACACACACACAGGATGAGAAACAAAATAACTGAAAATGACACACTGCTAGCCCAGTAGGCACCTACCAAGGTGACACACTTCTTTTTCTCTCGCCTCCCAGCGTTGGCTGTCCACATATGCTGCAGAGAGAAGGCATCTTTTACCTGAGGAAAAAGACAATGATCTCAACAGGCATGGTCTCAGTTTCGATGTCTTTTGTAGTTAGCTTATTTGTCATAGTTTCAGTTTACTGGAATACTAAAATTAGGATACAGTAACCAATATTGCATAATTCGTCAGTTTATGATAAAATATATTCAACCTCTAACATATACTAGATGCCGGAAATGAAATCTTTTTACATTATAGTAAAATGCTAATAGTTTCCTCCATATAGGAGTCTTCTTTTTTGTTTGTTTGTTTTTTGTTTTTGGGTCATACCTGGTGATGCACAGGGGTTACTCCTGGCTCTGCTCTCAGGAATTACTCCTAGCGGTGCTCCGGGTACCATATGGGATGCTGGGAATCGAACCCAGATAGGCATGCAAGACAAACACCCTACCCGCTGTGTACTGCTCCAGTCCCCTATAGGAGTTGTTTAAATTATAGCCTTGGTGAGCCCCCAAACTCCTTTTTAAAACTTAAATTCTTGTTTTTACTCCATGGCTTGGAGGTCAACCACACATGCTAGGGGAAAAGGGAGTTCAGACAGAGAAGAGAACAACAAATAAAGGTGTTGGGAGGATCCTCCCAGGATGGCAGAAGCATGCTGAAAGTAGACTATAAACTAAATATGATTGTCACCCATTGCCTCTTTTGCAAACCAAACACCCAATAAGAGAGAGAGAACAAAAGGGAATGCCCTGCCACAGAGGCAGGATGGGATGGGGGGTGGGAGGGATACTGGGATCCGTGGTGGTGGGAAATGGGCACTGGTGGAGGGATGGGTATTTGATCATTGTATAATTGAAACCCAAGCACAAAAATGTGTAAGTCTACAACTGTACCTCATGATGTCTCACTAAAAAAAAAAAAAAAAAACCCTTAAATTCTTGTGAACTATTGCACACTGAAGAAGTAATGCTACATAATCATGAGCTAGTCCTAAAACCTTTTCCCAAAGAACCAAAAAATTTAAAAAAAAAAAAAAAAAGGAAGACAAACTGGCTCTGAGTATCACCCGGTGTGGTCCCAAACCAAAAAAACCAAAAAAAAAAAAAAACCCAAAACCTAAAACTGTTTCCATCTGAATTGGGTTGTAGATTTATTTCTATGACACATGAAATGAAGAGTGATTTTTTTTACCCAGTGATACAGCAACTCTGGCATAGCATACCCAAACCTGATGTACCCTACAGGATGGCAAATTTCTTCTCCCAGTACCTGCAACAATGCCTGAACTATGGCAGAGATCAAATAACATGAGCTCTCAAGGAATAAGTTAAAAACTAAACAGTAACTTAACTAGGAATAGATAAATAACCCTTACATCTCAAAAATTAAAAAAAGATAGTCTAATTGAAAAATGGTGAAAGGGTTTGAACAGCCATATATCAAGTATATGTGAGTGTACACATATCCTCCAGTGGCTGTCAAATACATGGGAAGATATTTCAATAGAGCTTGCCATTGAGGAAATGCAAAATGCATTGACATGATACTCGGCTATAATAAAAAATAAAAAAAATTAAATAGATAGTAACAGTTTTTGATAAGAATGTAAACCAGAACCCTCACTGTTGCAAGCGACAGTGTAAATAGCGTGGCCACGCTGGACAGTCGAGCAGGTCCTAAAAGTATTAACATGGAGTTACCACGCAATGCAGTAATCTCACTCCTAAGTAGATGCCTAAGAGAAGCGAAATCAAACCTTCATGCAGAAACTTGTATACAAATGTTTATAGCATTGCTGCTTCATAAACCCAATGCAGAAACAATGCAAATATCTATTAAGTGATGAATGGATAAACAAAATGTGAAATTTTCTTACATTAGAATGCAATTTTATTCAGCAATAAAACAAAATGAGTATTGACATGTTCTACAACATGAATGAATCTCAAAAAATGTTTACAAAAAGACTATATATTTATATAAAATGCCCGCAATAGACAAATCTACAGAGAAAGAAAACAGATTAGAAATGGCCTAGATCTAGAGAATAGGATGCAAGAAAAAAAAAAGCATTGGGAGTAAATGGGATGTAATTAATACTGATTCAGGGTTTCTTTTCAGGAAAGATGAAACCGTTCTAAATTTGTTATGGTAATGGCAGCACAACCCTTTGAATATACAAAAAAAAAAACACTGAACTGAATATTTTAAATGAATGAACTATATAGGCGAATTCTATTTCAATAAAGCTATTGAGAGAAAAAAAGGAATGACAGATAATTCCTAATGGTAGAACATACATCAAATATAACTAGGTGGCATGGGGGCCGATTAAACACAATTTGTATGCCACCATGCTTTTTCCATCTCCCACACAAGCAAATATCAACTTATAAACAAACAGATCTTTCCTTTACCTTACAAATCACAAAAAATCACAAATCATCCTGTTAATCGTCGATTGCCTCGAGCAGGCCCCAGTAACGTCTCCTTCATCCTAGCCCTGAGATTATATTCAAGGCTCTTTAGGAGAATGAGACCCATCATTGTTACTGGTATTTGGCATATTGGGTACGCCACAGGGAGTTTGCCAGACTCTGCCGTGTGGGCAGGCTACATTCGGTAGCCTGCCAGTTTGTCCAAAGTAGGAATGAGATAATAAGATGTCATAATAAGATGTTGCGTGGCCGCAAATGCTAGGTGGCATGGGGGCCGATTAAACACAATTTGTATGCCACCATGCTTTTTCCATCTCCCACACAAGCAAATATAAACTTATAAACAAACAGATCTTTCCTTTACCTTACAACAATAATATTTCTGGATTTCAGATCTAAAGTTGAAGCAATGCTGCAGAATATAAAAAAGGCTTCACAATAGTCTCAAAAGGGGAAAGAAGATTCTAAAAACAGTACCTATGAAAACGAACCTTCGTTTTAAATGGATTACATACCACAAAGACACAGTATAATATTTTGAGCAGATGTTTGAAACTTAAAATACATTTTTTTTCACAGAAATGTTATAAATTCTTGGTTACATCCCTAGATCTGACCTGAAGAGTGAATAAAAAAAGCCAGTGATACTTGGCTGGAGAGATAATACAGCAGGTAAGACCCTTGCCTTACATACAGCTGACCCAAGTTCAATCCCTGGCACCACATATGTTCCTCCCAGCCCCATTAGGAGTGATTGAGCCAGGAGTGAGTGATGGGCACGGCCAGATATGCTATCCTCCCCACACACACATACACAATGTCAGAGATACTATGTGAGGAGTGCCTGCATGTTGAGTCAGGAGTGAGGAGGCTTGAGTCTTATCATGAGAGAATCCTATACACAGAGAGAAGCATTCAGTTATATCCCCAAAAGTTCTATAATACTGTAAACTAAGTGAAGAAACTAGTGAAAAAATAGGTAGGAAGAAAGAAAACTACTGATTCTGTAGTTATGAATGAAGGAGCTGAAGTGGGCAATCTGTAAGGTCCAGACATGTATGAAGGGTCTCTGATACTCAAAAGAAAAAATTCAATCAACCCATTCATAAAGTATAGCAACATTTGTTTGAGGGGGCTTTTTCTTTTTTTAATTATTTGGCAGGGGGAAGAGAGGACCACACATGGCTGTGCTCAGGACTTACTCTAGGCTCTGTGCTCTGGGATCACTCCTAACAGAGTTCAAGGGAATATATGGGATGCTGGGGATTTGAACCTGGTCAGCTAAGTGCAAGGCAAGCACCCGGATTTAATACATAGCAATGCTCAGGGCTTATTCCTGCCTCTGTGCTCAGGAATAACTTCTGATGGTGCTTGGGGGATCACATGTGGTAACCTAGAATCCAATTGGGGTCTACTACATGCAAGGCCTCACCTCATATACTTTTCTCCCTCAACTTTAATTTTAACTAATTTAAATAACCATCTGCAGCTAGTGCTATCACACTGTATTAGTACAAGTGTAATCTTTTGAAAGTTCAATTCAAACTAATATCAAATTAGTAATTTAAAATTCTTTCAAAGCATCCTTAGCTAATATTCATGTCCTACCTAAATTGCTTTCCTTTGTTAGGATGAAACACTCTGAGCAATCATTACTACTCTGAGAGATAACACAGGATCTTACTTAAATTGAAAAGCATTTGCTAACGTCCATATTTAAGCATGCTAGGTAAGAGCTACAGCAACTCTTACTAGGTATCACTACGCACACCACTTTTATCTAACATGTAATATTAAATATTTTATTCAGCTAGAACTTTTGGTGGTCAAATATGATGTTTCCTTTTGTTATTTAATGGCGTTTCTTAAAGAACCACGTGCAAGTGGGTATTGATTTTCTTATATGGGCTAAGCGAAGGTAGGCTGGGAAGAAGTGACAATAGATACTGGAAACAGCAATTGCACTTAAATCATATAAAATCAGTCAGAGCAGTCAGAATCTAGCTTTTACAAATGCTTAATGTTTCCCCAAATGCCTTCATTAGCAGGGCTATGAAATAACAAGAATTGAGTGAGTTGCCATTCAACTTAGGAAATCAACATACTTTGTAAGTAACCCATAGCATTAACCGTCCACACGTGTAAACGACAGTGGAAAAAAGGTCAAAACAGAGTTGTGTCCAAGGTCATCAGGTTAGGCGAAGTACTTTCCTAAGAATTCAGAAACCTTCCTCACAATGTGAAGATCAGCGGTCTGTCCCAAGTGAGGTGACGAGTTCTGCAAACGCCCCTCAAGGAAACCTTAGCAGGAAAGACAAATGTCATGCCCCCCCCCATGGGTGAAATTCTGGGCTCTTCGAGAGAGCAAAAAGGTTCCCTAACACACAAATCCTGCAAGTCACACGCAAGAACCATGATGCCACTTCCTCCCTCTGTTCTTCGCAACTGCAGGGGGGAGGATGCTAGGACCTTAGCAAAGGGTTTCGGTCAGAGACCTGATCCCCTGCGCAAGCTACCAAGAACTCCAAAGGCTCCTTTAAGCCAGCAGATCCTAGAAACATCTCCTTTCCTTCTGCAAGACCAGCGCATCCCTCTCTCAAGGAATAAGCTCCCGGGGTCTAAGACGAAGCCACTGACCTGCCCAGGAGAGCCGGGGCAGCGCACCTTTGCGCGCCAGGAGGCTCCCGCACCGCGTGACGGGGGCTGCCATCTTGGAGCGTGCTCAGCGGAAGGCCGGCCCGTGGGCGGGGCCTCGGGAGGGGCGTGGCCACGGCGGCCGACGCTCCGCCCGCTCCCGGGCCGGGGACCTGGCGCGCGCGCGGCAGCATGGCGGCCGCCATTCGGCCCCCGGGGCCGGTGCTGCTGCAAACGCTGCGGAGGTCCACGTATCCCGCAGTGGCAGGCTTAGGCTCCACCTGCTGCCGCTGCCCGCTCGGAGGTACTGCGGCTTGGCCTCGGGCTTTGAAGGAGGGGAGGGATGGGACGCGAGGGAGTTTAGCCGCGGCGGTCATTTCTAAAGAATAACTGCCCCGAATCCACAACTCCCTGGCCTGGGCGTGCAGGCTGTGACCTTGTCCTCTGGTCGCGCGCGAGGTTGTCCCTGGGCGTCGTGGTTGCCTGCGTGCGCCGGGGAGTCAGGGGACAGGCGGGCTGGCAGGGTGTGGGGGTCTTGCCTGTCCCCTGGCCTCCGTGGGAGGAGACGTTTCCGGGAGCAGCTTTGCCCCCGGTCTACAGCCCTGCAGAGTTGGGAACCGAGGGCGCAGTCTCACTGCAGGGAACAATCTGAAACATCTGGAACCGGTTTCCCCTCAGTTTAGAAAGTTACCCGCCATCGGTTTATAACAGCAACTGCATTTGAAAGTGCTGGTGAGGGATGAGAACATCTTTCGCTTTGTGCATCTTCTCAAGGCTGTTTCCCACCTGCTCAGTCGTGGTCTGTGTCTTAAGGCGCATCTTCAAGTTACCTACCCAGAAACCCTCTGAGAGGGTGTAACGTAGTTCACAAACGACAGAACTGGGAATCCTAGGGGTCACTAGAAAAAAAATTAGGGTTCTCTTAATTGCATTATTCTGTAGGCTTCAACCAAGATAAAGCAAAGTTAGATGTGCCTATTTTGTGTTTAAAGAATAGCTTTGTATGTTCCTTTGTCATCTTTGTATAACCGTCACGATGCAAGTGTATTTATATTCCAGAACTCAAATTTCTGCTAACCAATTCCCAGCTAATTACGGATTCCTCCCACACACAAACAAAAAGTGTTGCATTCTCTCATAGTTTGGATGTATTTGTTCCCACTGGGTTTATACTTGATAGGACCATAAACATCTAGATGACTGTGTAAAGGGGCGTTTTATACTAGATTAATCAGAGCCAATCAAGTTGTCTGCTCAAGTTTTCTGCTAAGTATAAAACAGTAAATGATTTTGTTTCTCTTTTGTTTAATTTTTAGCTAAAAGATATCTACTAACAGATAATATTGTGAAATTAAAAGAATTTCAGCACAAGAAGGTAGCTATTGGACATAATCTATCAGGCACTAAAGGTAATAAAATCTATTGATTTTGTTGTTGTTATTGTTACTTCTTCTGCTTTATCCCTCTACAGTTTCTTCTCTGGGCCTCATGGCTTAGAAGAAAATTGCAACCAATTAGCCTTAGATTCCTGATCAACCCTTTTTGCTCACCTTTCCCTTTTCCTGAGAACCCAGAGAACTACTGATACTAGAGCTGTGCTTAGCCATCTCTAGGTCTCTACCACTCAAAATGAGGAGTGAGAATCTGCACCAATGAAGAGGTTGATAGAAATTCCAAACCTCAATAGACTTCTGTATGAATATAAAATCTGAGAAGAAATGCTCCAGGTGCCTGACTTTCAAACTTTTTCGTGCAGCCCGTGGTAAAAAATATATTTTGCGTTGCCTTTTCGGCACACATATATATCTATAAGTAAATGAAATGCATGCAAACAAAACAGTGATATACATTGATGCATTTTTTATTTTTATACTTTGTACTCAGTGCTAGAGGAAGTCAATAGGCTCAAAGATTTATTCTGAAAGATAGCAAAACATCCGTAATTGTTGAGGCTGGTGATGGACCTGTAGAAGATCATGCACTATTCTCTTTTGGGATGTGTTTGAACATTTGTATTATAAAAAAAATTATATTAACAATTACCCTATTATATTAATAGCTACCCTACCCTACATCCTGATTTCTTGTAGCATCTGAAATTTTTTCTTTAATTAAGCCACCATGGATTTTTATTTTTGTTTTGTTTTGGGGCCACACCTTGTGGTGATTAGGGCTTACTCCTAGTGGACTCGGGGACTGTTTCGGATTCCAGGGAATGACCCAGGTCTGCCTCATTGAAGGCAAATTCATTACCTGTTGTGCTATCTCTGCATCCCCTGTTGGGAAATCTTTCATTAATTCTCTCTCTACTGTCTTCCCCTCAAACTCAGTAATTCAACTCTTTTTTTTTTCCTGCGGATTGGGGGGCACACCCAGCAGTGCTCAGGGTTTACTCTGACTGTGTGATCAGGATTCACTCCTGGGTTGGAGATCAAACAGGGATTGGCTGTGTGCAAAGCAAGTGCCTTACCACTGTATTATCTCTCCATCTTAGCCTTCCAAACATTTTTTTAAAATGAAAACAGCACAACTTTCTGTTCTTTCAATTAGTCTTTTATTTTGTCTATTGATTTTCATTTCTCTTTCCTTTTTGTCAAATATTTTGGAGCACCTAGTCAACACTTCTTAGCACTCATAGTTTAGCTGTACAGAAATAGTCTTTCCTCAAGTTAATTATAGGGCTGCACACTATCTACCATGAGATAGGTAATCTTAAGAATAGGGGAATTACTTTCTCATTATGTGACCTATAACAAGGTTTCTTTTTTTTTATTTTGGTTTTGGTTTGGCTTTTTTGTTTGTTTTGGGGCCACACTCAGCAGTTCTCAGGGGTTACTCCTCACTCCATGCTCAGTGATCACTTCTGGTGAGCTTGGGCGACCATATGGGGTGCTGGGGATCAAACTCAGTTCGCCATGTGTAAGGCCTACCTGCCATATTATCACTCCAGCCCACCTATAACAATTTATTTATTTATTTATTTTTGGTCTAAATTTTTATTTATTTTTTTAATTTTTTAATTTTTATTAGTGAGACACCATGAGGTACAGTTGTGGACTTACAAATTTTGTGCTTGGGTTTCAATTATACAATAATAAAATACCCATCCCTCCACCAGTGCCCATTTCCCACCATCATGATCCCAGTATCCCTCCCACCCCCCAACCCCCACCCCCTCATCCCAATGGTATCTTCAAAGATGTCACGCCACTGGCCAAGCAAGTGAAAACAGGGATAGACAATCTTTTTTTTTATTAGTGAAACACCATGAGGTACAGTTATATACTTAAAAATTTTTGTGCTTGGGTTTCAATTATACAATGATCCAGTACCCATCCCTCCACCAGTGCCCATTTTCCACCACCACCGGTCCCAGTATCCCTCCCAACCCCCATCCCACCCTGCCTCTGTGGCAGGGCATTTCCCCTTGTTCTCTCTCTTCTTTTGGGTCCTGTGTTTTGCAAGAGAGGCATTGAATGGCAATCTTGTTTGGTCTATAGTCTACTTTCAGCATGCTTCTCCCACCCTGGGAGGATCCTCACAAAACCCTTTATTTGGTGCTCTCTTCTCTATCTGAGCTTCCTTTTCACCTGTCATGTGTGGCTGGCCTCCAAGTCATGGAGCAAAATTCCTGGTACTAATCTCAGCCACTCCTGGGTATTAGTCTCCCATTTTGTTGCTTTATGTTCCCCAGATAAATGCAATCTTTCTGTGTCTATCCAAATGGGACTATCTTAAACTAAGAAGCTTCTGCACCTCAAACGAAACAGTGACCAAAATACCTATAACAAATTTTTAACCTTGAGAAGCAGTTTCTTTATTGAGGATAAAGACAATGTTATTTTAGGGCTTGAGTTAAGAGTTATAATAGGATTAGAACAGTTCCTGGCACCTCTCAGATTATATATTAGCAATTGGGAAAGAGCGTGGGAGATGGGTAGAGGTCACTTTGTTAGTTTGATAGTTGAAATGGTGTTGGAAATGGTGAAGCTTATACACCCTTACAGAGGGGTGAAGTTGTACTTTCAAACATTTACAGTCTTGTAAACCAATAGTAAATCAATTTAAAACAAAAAAGAGAGGCAAAAAGTATTCCTCTCCAGTTTAGTAGACTAAAACTAGATGTTATTTCAGTCTTTTCTTTCAACCTTATATCATTAGGAGCTCTGTGAGATTTGGAGTGTTAGGTCTCCTGAGTGACTCTTATTTCCAGTTATCATAATCTTCCCAGATTATGGTATGGTAAGACATATATTTTAAAGGACAACTAATATAGTAAGTGACCGCTTATTCCATTGATAGTTATAAAGTTCTGCCAACATTCCATCATTATCAGTACCCCCAGTGTACTTTATAGTAACCATATCATCTACAAACATTCCCCTTGCTTCCTAACTCTTCCATCATGTGCTTTCATCATGTTCCTTTCTGGAACCTACTGTGATTTTCTATTACTTTGGCTCGTCCTCGCTCTCCTTTCAGCTCTTTGTTGTTGCTCATGCGAATTCCTCCCCCAAGAACGTCTCCCCTGAGTTTCGCCAGTTATCCAGCCCCACCCTTTCTCCCTGGCACCTCTCTGCCCCCACCAAGCCTTATCAGTTTCTGTCACCCTGATTTCTCTCCTCTCATCTTTGTCATCAGTTACATGTTCCCTGCTCCATCACTGTTTCCGAATACCTTTGCATAAATATATCTTGTTCTGAATAGACTTTAAGCTCGTTCAGGGAAGTAACCACTATCTTTGGCGTCTTCCACAGAGAAGGATATCTTTGCATGTGAATATGTGTATAATGAGTGCTTAAATGTTGACAGATTTGTTTTAAAATACTAATCACACCAATTGAATTTTTGAGTTGTTGTTTTTTATTTGGGGGGGGGGGGGGCAATGCCTAGGGCTTACTCACGGCTCTGCACCACTCAGGGATCACTCCTGGCAGGGCTCAAGGAATCATGTGGGATGCCAGGGATTGAACCCAGATTGCCTGCATGCTACCCTGCTGTACTGTCTCTCCAGCCCCGTATTAAAATTTCTAATTCTTTGGTGTGTGTGTGGCCGGGGGGGGGGGGGGGGGGGCGGGGGGGGTGGTACTGATTTTGGCCACACCTTGCACTGCTTAGGCTAC